TTCCATATTAAAGTAATTCCCTGTTATAGCCGGTATTACGCACTTGTATTTTGTCATATTTTATATCGTCTGCATACTTTATAATTAAACGGATACCTGCATACGACGTAACAAATAAAGGAATTGTTAAGATTTAGTAAGCTAAAAAACTAAAAAAGACAAAACAAACTTTCTCATAGTGCCGTTGACAATAATTTTGCAGAATTTATTGTAAAATTTTAGATTATGTGGTTAGGTTAAAGAATTAGATAGTTACCATGAGATGAATGGATAACGAAATTTCTACAAAATTAAAACACCACATCAGAACAAATATCTTGACACATATTAAAAAAAGACCTTTATGCTTTTTTCGTAAAACTATTATAAATTGAACTTCTAGTGATTATGTGCATAATGTGGGGTTAACCTATATTTAATTGCAATATCATGTATCTGTTTCTATTAAATGTATTAAATGTTATGTTGTAAAATGCTGTTATTAAATAAGTGCTAATTTTTGCGAGCACATTTGACTTCTATGGCATCAAATCAATACTATTAATTAAACAACTACAAATATTTATAATTAATATTACCTGTCGACAGAAATTACATTTTTTAAGTATTTCATAATTATTTTACGCCCGTTTAAGCAGTCAAAAGTAATGTAAAATCATTTATAACTAACGTATAATAAACAACTTATTGTTGTAGTTATCTATAAAACATAGTAAAATCTAATATATTCAAATATTATGATATTTAGCATGATAATCACATACAATTTCAGTATAGACTGCGATTTTACAATCACATACGTCGTAAACAAAATTCTATGATGGATGATTAGATTTTACGATATTTCCATTAAAAAAATTTATGACTTAAATGAACCTACCGTGGGAGGGCACAAGTTAACCTCCGTTAATCACTTGGTATGTTACAAGGTCCAATAGTTAGTCCGGTTATATTTGGTGTGCGATAAACCTGTTAGGTTTCATCGCTGCGGATTCCTACGCACCGCTTTGCGCATTCGCCGCCCACCGGTGTTGTGCGCACTGCCCATGTTGAATTGTACCTGAGGCGCACCGGCCGCTGCACCGAAACTATACACGCCCGCCTGCTGCGGCTGCGGCTGTGGCTGCTGAGGTTGCTGCTGTTGCTGAAAAGTACAAATACAAACATTTCAAAAACACTCCAGCATATTTATTTACTGGTTTCATATATTTTCACGCGATCTAGACATTAATTCTTTTAATTGATAACAACGTGTTTATATTTGATTTAATTTTAAGATATATCGGATTCTTTACAGGTTCCGTGTTCACTTAGACTAAGCTGTTGATTGTATTTTTATAATTGGCTACGTTACTGTTTTGGGAAAAGTATTTTAAATTGTTTATGTGATCATATTGAACCACACATTTAAGTTCACTAATACTTACGGAATACGAAATAACAGTTTATATATACAACATCAAGAGTCAAAATGGAGTTTAGTGAAGATAGTCGAAATTGACACATTAGAATTGCTCACTTTTTTCGGTAGGATTAAGACTTTAGATCGTAAGTTGAGTTAGCGAATACGCCTGTAACGTAACGTCCACGATAACCGTCCTTGCGACACGCGTTTCAGTCCTCGCAATCCACAGACTATAAAATCTCAAGTTGATTTTGCAAGAATAAAATATACATACTTACAATTAATTTTAAAGCACAAAATACTGCATCGTTATCATTTAAATACAAGTTACCATTTCCAATATATTTTTTGATGAATTTTTTCAAGTAGTCAATTAAGAGTATTGCCACCTTCAAACAATACTTATTGGACACACTATGCTCCGCAAAACCCGAAACTTCTTAAAATAAAATCAAATATAAACACGTTAACCGTTGAAAATAGTTTTGTAACCGTGATTTCGTTACTACTGTCATTATATTTCCCAATCAAACATTTTAATATCCTCAGGCATCAAAGTGAACCTTCATAAATTCTTTAATGAAATTATACGACTAAAAGAGTCTAACGGTCAGTTGCGCAAACATTAATTAAGGTTTAATGACGCCTTTAAGCTCTAATGTATGTCAAATTTGTATGGATAATGTCACTTTAAATTAATGACATTTTTAATGGACGTTTGTGCAACTTGCTTGTAAGTCTAATAATAAAAATAAAGACAATAATCTTTGAAATAAAACCCACTGTGTGTACTTTGCTATATATCATTTATCTGTTGACCCGGCATATGTTATTATATTTTATCTTTTTTCATTCTCAAAACGTTGGACCCATTATCTTTGGTCAGTACAATTATTTTGTGTAGTTTATATTCACAAAGAGAGAATTTTTGGAAATTTAACCCTAAATAAGTATTGAAAGTTTTTATGGAACACTGACAGTTTTAAAGTTAAAAACATGAAACTTTATTTTAGGGTTACAAATAACAAATGAGTTAACAACTGCTTTACTGTTTAAAGAAATTTTACTCTTAAAGGGATGAAATAGGTGTTGCAAGTTTGTATAGAAGTCCGTCATTATTCAAAAATCACGTGACTACGTGAAACGTTATTTTTAACTACTTATTAAAAATTCATAAATCTATTTTTCGGTGATTATGGATAGGTTTATATATTATGCATAGGTGATTAGAGATGGAAGTTTGTATGGAAGTCCGTCGTTTTGAAACTTCATTTTAAAGCTACCGATTGAATTTTTTTAACACTTATTTCAGCCATAGTGTACATTATACCCAAAATTAATTGATTACGCAAAAATAAAAATAAAATACATATTTAATATTCTTCAATAATCTACCTGACGGACACACAAACAAAAACTAATCGTCATCCCTATTGCGAGGTACATATTGGTAGGTATTTTATTTTGATGATTTGAAAATGGTTTTAGTTATTTTAAGACTTATTTTTCAACCGACAAGAATGTAGCTGTGAATGAAATAAAACAGATTAATAATATTAATAAAAGAAGGTTTATTTTATACTAACTACCATAGCAAATAAAAATTTACATGATATTGTGCAGGAAATTAAAAACTATTTGACCCGTTAGATAGTAAGTATTTAGCCATCAGTGGTTCAAAAAAAATTTTTCAACGTCTCTAAAATCAAAAATGACAGAATTCCATGTAAACTTTCAACCCCCATTACACAAGAATATAATTTCCACAATAAAATGAAATTGATAACATTTATTTCTTAATTTTTTTCACTTGTTGATTCCTATGCTAGTAGGACAAATAAGAATAAAACAGAAGCTAAAGTCCTATCCTCGCGATTTATTATCATTTTATCTAAGGAATGTGTTGGATGCTGAAAATTTTAGTATTTTTCTTATGCACGTTGTGTTGTATTGTGGATTAGGACATGTTCCAAATGTATGGACGAAGAAAATCATAAATTAGAAAGCTTTACTTTTTTCAAAAACTAGTGAGTACCACTTTGAATATGACTCGTAAGTTGGAATTATTATATAGTAACCTATATCAACAAAAATAAATCAATCATTAAATCATATGATCCAACAAATATAGGCAGAATCATTGACTTGCGGCAGTTTGACACGACGTTTAATCCAAATGTACATTTATTTTGGCTCAAACACCTATAATGAAATCATAATTCAAGAAAAGATTTTTCATCCATAAAAGTCCACAATTTTGACCTAATTTTGCTACTTGATGATTTTTTCATTTTCTCTGTTTGAATTTGTTCGGTTTTATCAAACGGTAACGTTTGGATTAGATTACCTATATTAGTTTTTTTTTGTAATTTGTAAATCCATGATTGAATGAATTAAAAAGGATTTTTTAGCTGGATATGACAACTTTGAGTATTTTTAAATAAAACTATATTAGAATTATTTTTATTTAAATATTTAAAAAACAAACATGCATGATTTCCTGAAGTATAGAATTATTGATCAATGTAAGATTTTACTGAAGGTGTACGTGTTCACTTTCAGTTTTATGCATTGTGTTATCGCCAAATTAATATTTGGGTGCCTCTCTATTATTTTCATTTAAAAACATTAAATCTTACAGCCAGTTGCACAAAGGTCCATTAAAATAGTCATTAGTTTAAACAGACATTACCGATAAAAATTTGACATTCATTAGTGCTTAAAGGTGTCATTAAACCTTAATGGACGTTTGTGCAACTGACTATTCATCTTCTACATTCAATTACAGAATATATAGGTATAAATAAGATTTACAAAATTAAATAATATAACGACAATATATAAAAAAAATGCAACAAATCAACACAAAATATACATTGTTATAAAAATATATAAACTCGATTTTATAATAAAAATAATAGACAAATATTAATTTATGACAATATTGAAAACAGGCTTTACGATTGACATTATTAATTAAATTTATAAATCCACAGTATTAATCACATTCGCGATATAATTCAATTTTAACATACATACATACCAATTGTCAGATTGACGCAATTAAACTATACATTATTTTTCGCACACTTTACTTCTAAGAAATGGAAAAATTTAGTAATAAATTAGCTTACCTTAATATGTTATGGCTTTTATTTGAATTGATTGTTTATTTGATCAATTTATTGATGTTTCTATCATATTAGAAGTCTATGTTAGATAGAAATACTATTTAGTATGACAAGTAACATGTTAACTTGATAATAAAAAGTTCCTGTATGTTAGAGTAATAAAAACATTCATTATCACTAACATGTGCTATGTTTATTTGAGGTACATATATTATTTATCACATTGTTTATAAATTATTGGTTATTAATAATTCTTTGGTTTATGATCTTGCGAACTAACTCGGGTCTATCCTCTGAAATTCTATTACAAATTCTATTACAAAAATCGTAAAGGCCGTCCATGCGATGGGTGACCAAAAATGTATAAGCCTCTCAACCCTTTCGAAGGCACACTAAACGTTGGATTTCCAAATGTTGCATCTGCAGTTGCCAAAAAATACTAAACCGCACTAGGTTTGCATCCGTTAGGCCTGGACTGAATCATGAGGGCATTAATAAGATTATTAAGAATTTATAAAATATTCACCTGTCCAAATCCGAAGATCCCAGATGGTTGCGGAGCTCCGAAGTTGAATGCTGGGGCAGGCGCTGGTGCCGGTGCGAGCGAAGGAGTCTCGAATGATGGTATAGTAGGATTGGCGGTCCCAAATGTCGGCGAGGGAGCGACATTACTCGAGCCGAATAAACCCAGTGCCGGTGTTGAGTTATTGGCGGGTTGGACAGTGCTAGGACCAAATATACTAGGCGCTGACTGATTCTGCACGGGAGTCGAGAATAAGGACGGCGCTCTGTTCGCGTTCTGATTCATACCGAAAACGTTTTGTGGCGTTGTTGCATTATTTCCAAATGCCGGCGATGCTGAATTACCAGCGTTAAATGGCGTGGTAGTCCCAAATGAAAATGTTGCCGGTTTTTGCGGAGGAGCGCTTGAAGTGTTTGATACGAACAAACTTGAAGAGTTACTAGTAGAGGATGACCACAGATTTTCCTTCTGTACTGGGGCGCCAAATATACCTGATGCAGGTTGTAAGGGAGGTTGTGATAAAGTACTAGGTGGTAACTCATTTGAACTACCTAATTTGGCAGTGAGTCCATTGCCACCAGTTAAAGCACTACCGCTGGCGAGACCGTTTCCGCCAGCTGCTAATCTGTTTCCAGAGAGACTAAATTTGTGGGTGTTATTTTCAGTTGACGAAGTGCCAAACGAATTATTGAACATTGTACTATTGCTGCCAAACGTGAAATTGAATTTCGGTTTCTCAGGCTGTGGGGCGGCACTAGATGTAGCGTTATTTCCGAAACTAAAAATAGGAGCAGTCGCCGCCAACGACGGAGGTGCCATAGTTGTGGTAGTATCAGTTTTTTGAAACAAAGACACTGTCGAAGTAGTGGCAGTTTCAGGTTTTTGAAACAAAGAAGAGCTTGTTGTTTTTGTACTTTCTGATTTTTGGAATAAAGAAACATTGGTCGTAGCAGCCGATTGTAAAGGAACCACAAATGCTGATGTGGTTGTAGCAGGAGCAGCAAATAGATTGACTGCTGGCTTTATTTCAGGTGCTGTAAATGTAAAGCTACCCTGTAGTTTTGTTTTCTGTTCACTAGTCACGACAGGCTGTATCGTTAAGGGTTTAGTTACAGTATCTTTCTTTTCTGCAGTATTTGTAGAACCCAATAAAGATGGAGTAGAAGTAATTGGTTTATCTTGAATACCCACTGATGTTAATTGAGACCCAAATATACTAGGCAAAGGTTTAGGTGTATCTTTTTCGGTTGTAAGTGCAAAATCCACTTTTGGAACTTCTTGTAGCTTTTCACTATCTTTATCTGATTTTTTTGATGGAAACTCAGTTAGCTTGTTTGCTGATCCAAACACAGGTGTAAAGGTCGCCTCAGAAGATGCCTGCGTTTTTGGTAAGCCAAAAGTAAAATTCAATTTGCCAGTTTCACTATTTGTAATTTTGGGTGCTTCTATTTGATCATCAGCTTTCTTTGGTGGTACCCCAAACGAAAATGTGGGAGCTTTTGGCAAAGTATTATTATTTGTTTCGGATATTTCTGACTTTTTCGGTACCTCCGCTGGTTTTTCATCACTCGACTTAGGACTGATTTCCTGAGCTGCTAAATGAATACCAAACTTGAAGTTCATATTTGGAGTCTTGCTGAAATTGAATAATTTTTTATCTGATTCTTTTATGGTTCCAGGTTTATGTGACTCACAGCATATGCATTTTGATCTATTGTTTTCATTTCTCACTAAACAACTTGAACATTCCCAAGTTTGAGGTTGTGGTTTTGCAGTAATTTTCATAGTATCAGAAATGCTTAATGGAGTTGACTGGAAAGTTTTCGAAGATAAGGCTGAATCATTATTTTTCTTTGCCCCAGGTTTAACTCCACCACAAGCAACACACTTATCGACACTCATCTTATTTTTTATCCAACAGTCATCGCATTTCCATTCACTATTTAAATCTCCAATATCAATAGAATTAACTGTAGAAGTAGAGTTTAAAGTGACATTTGATTTCTTAGGGTTCTTCCCGCCGCAACAAACACATTTATCGTCCTTTTCGTCGTTTTTGACCCAGCAATCCTCGCATTTCCATTTTGATGAATCATCGACATTTTGGACTAATGAATTTTGGGATTTAGTAGCATTGCTTACTTGCACCTTTTCACAATTTATACACTTGTTTTTATTTGATTGACTATCTGCCAATTTGCAAATTGAGCATTTAGACTGTTTTGGCGTTTCTTTCGATGGTTGTTTAGCGCCACAACATACACAATTGTTGACATCTATCTTATTGAACACCCAACAGTCAGGGCATTGCCAATCTTTTATTTTTTGAACAACTGTTTTCTCAGTTTCTTTAGGTGTACCTACAACACAAGAAGATACGTCATCTTTTTTCTCAGCTACAATAGATTTATCAACACCACGCTCAGGACTACCAAATGCAAATTTTGGGGGAGTTGTAGTAATTAATGATGTATCAGTAGATAATCTGACTGGACTTGAAAACTTATAAGATTCACTACATTTTGTTGTCTCAGGTTTAATTGATTCAGGCTTACTTAATCCTGGCTTAATTGAAGCTGTGCTCTCAATACTTGCTGTTATTTCAGATATCGGTTTAGACACTGTGGTAGAAGTAAAACTCAATTGGGGTGTTGTATTCACTGATATAGAAGAGCTTGATGACGTGATCCCAAATGAAAACTTAGGCATGTTATCTTTATCAATTTGTAAAACAGCCGTAGGCAAATTCACTGGTGTTATCATCTGGTTCTCAACATCACTTTCTCCACGCTTTAATCGAGTTACTCTAGATTTTACTTTAGTAGTAAATTTACCAATGGATTCCTTTTCTTTTTGTTCCCTGTAAACATAAAAATTATTTACTATAATTTCATTGCAAATTAATAATACACATGCATATACTGAATATTACATTTAAGCATAACAAACTTACCTTTGAGCATTAAATACTGGATAAGGAATATAGTCAGAAGTACTACTATGGGATGCTATAATCTGTCTTGCTGCATTTGTTGACTCCATTATTCTAGACTTCTGCTTCAATCTCAGGACTGATACAATATTTGGCACATGAAGCTCTTGGGTCTTGTATGCTATTTAGATTACAGATCATTATTATAATGTAATTTAATGAAATTTCAAGTTTGTAACTTTCTGAATACAGAAGAAAGACATAGGAAATACATTCACACAGACAAAGAGTCACACTCACGTACGTAAAGTTCCATATCATATAAAAACTACCAACCAAAAATTTACTGAAACAAGCGGACTAACTTTTTTTGTCTTCAGTGCTTCAATTTTAACTAAGATATTTGTGGAAGAAAAGACTTTCAAATCAATGGTAAAAAATGTTGTAAAATAAAAAAATTATGTTTGTAAAATTTTAAATGAATTAAAATTATTTTAGTTTGTTATGTTTGAATTGTAGTTTACATGAATAAGAATTATTGCACAAACTAAAAATTAAATTAAATAATAATATATAAATAAATAACTGTTTTTCTATTAATTGTTACGGACATTGGCTATCTCAGTAAGACTAGTTTTACTGAATAAACATATTCCAAATATGTAAATATATAATTAGTTTTGTCTATATACTAGTTTTGACACTTTTCTATACAAAAGCTATCATAGGTGCGTTTTAGTGTGAAAATTATTATGAACTTATGGACCAAAGTCGAAACAAACGACTTATGCCAATTTAACCCGATTTCATGGTATTATTCGAAGAAATTAAGTAACAATAATCAGCCTATAGCTAGAGTTCATAATTGTCAATGTAAAATGTGAGTCTCTTTCCTGTGATGAATCAGCCAAAAAACTGCAGTTAAAAGTATGGCCATTGTACAGCCTAGTGACAGACAGGAGGACGGACGGACAACGGAGTCTTAGTAATAGGTTCCCATTGTTGCCTTTGGATACAAAACCCTAACAACTTAAATTTTATTACATTAAAACAATTCTATAAATGGTTATTGTTGAGCTTTAAATTGGTAACAGTATTAATACAAATAAAAACTGAAATCTCGTTTTTTATATATACAAAATAATTATTTCATAATGTTTATACTTACACATTTCTTTTGGACAATAAGGAGAACCACTAGTGCTTTTACTTTCATTAAAACTATCACTCTTGGAACTTTTAAGATATTGTGATATTCTTTTTGCTTCCATTAATGGAGAAGAATAATTTTCTAAGAGGTCCATGATACGTCTAGCTGAATAGCTCATAGAAGTATTTTCACTGCTGTTGGATTCATTTACCAAAGCCACTTTTCTGTGTTTGATATTTGGGTTATTAATATATAAAGAGGCAGCACCTCCATACATAGTTTGCCCAGGATAAAAAGATGATCCAAATAAATTAGGTTTGAAGCATGGAGCTTTTGGATCCACCAAAGTGTTACTTGCTGTCCTTGCTAAAACAATAATGTTGTAATTATATAATATATACATGTCCTTTTAGTACATAGCATTCAGTTTTCATTTGTCTACTTACCACAGGCTTTTTTTGAGGCCTCATTATTTGGATTATCGAAAATTGACTTTCTTTTTGTTGCAATAGATGGGGCCACACTAGAAAGAGTGTGTTGTGACTTCATTGTAGTACTGTCACTTTTGTCTTTATTTGATTCAATGTTATTAGAAACCCTTACAGGGCTTGACGCAAAGTTAGTTTCTCTTCTAAATGAGGTTCGACTTGTTGAAGGCTGTACAGAATTATTGTATGGTGGAGCACATTTTTCATAGGCATCAACATTATTAGTGACACAGCTTACCTAAAAATGAAATAAGAAATTATCATGGTTTTGTTATTACCTAATATTGTGTTATTCATTTTAATAAAGAAATAAATCTCACTTCTGTTGAAACAAAATTATTATATTTTCCAGGCGAGCTGAATCTCATTCGCTTTAATGGTGGTTGAGTTGTTATAGGACTTTCTGTAGCTTCGTCCTCGGTAGAGGAGTCTGTGCCCTCGGCTGCAGGTGCAGAGCCATTGGAATTCGATGTGCTTGGACTACCAAACCATTTTGTTATTGATGAAGGTAGTAACCCTGATACCCTTGATGTCACATTCTTCACAAATGACTGTAAAGACACAAGCAAAACTATATTCATCGTTTCATTTATCATATTTCTTGACATATCTTGACTGACTTATGACACAACGCACAGCCTAAACCACGGGCCGTAGACACGAGATTTGAAAGCTACATGTCCAACACTACTTAAACTATTGTTTATAACTAATCTCAAAAAAAAAACTTATTCAAGAAACGGCTATTGAAGTCAGGCCGAGGTTTTCTGTTGGTTTTAATAAATGATAGGCGCCCAACTTCAATAGCGTAATACCTTAAATAAGTTGCTTTTGAGACAAGTGTTAGTTATTTATAAAGTTTGAAGTCAGTTCTATTTCTTGAAATAATACATGAATTCATTATTTTTAGTGATATTAGTATTTTTTATATAATAGGTAACATAAAAATATTAACTATCTATATAAAAATACGTCAACATAGTGAAAGTGTTCGGAAAAAAAAATACAAGTTGGATATAGGCTACAATTTACTTAGGCGAAGTCGCATGGAAATAGTTATATTGATAGAAATTGGTTCGCAATCCAAGAAATCGATTGACATACCCACTTTCATAAAAATATACATACTCCTTGAATATAGAAAATCATTATAAAAGAATAAATTTTGAAAAACGTATTTTGTTTTGTCATAAAAAGAAAACTACTAATTTGATTTCGAAAAAATTTAAATGGGACCGCCTCGGCCCATCAAGCTGTCGAATAAAATAAGGATTTCAAAAATCGGTTAACAATTAGCGGCATTATCTATGAACATTCACAAAAAAATATCGTCGTCGAACATATAAACTCCTTTTGAATTTTGAAGTGATTTAACAAGAATTACAACCTGATTTTATGACCTACTAGCTTTCGCCAGCGGCTTCGCCCGCGTGGACCCTAGGCAAATGTTTAGTGGGATAAAAAGTATCCTATTATCTAAGTCAGCTAACACCCTATCTGTATACCAATACCATTCAGTAGTTTCGTCGTGATTGACGTACAAACATCCAAACAAAGAAACTTTCACATTTATAATATTAATAGGATTGTTAAAAAATTGAGGTATGTGTATCAAGAAACAGTTCACAAATCGTCAATATGATTTTCACTATGTTCGAAACATGCAATCATTTATTTACATGGCAAAAGCTCTTAATTTTTAACTGACTTAAAAAGATTTTCTCAATTCGACCGTTATGTTTTTTTTTTTGTTTATCCGCGAATATGTTTATGAACCAATTTTAATAATTCGTTTTTTATTAAGCAGCTTGTGGACCCGACGAAATCCCATATTTTTATCGAAATAAAATTGATAGTTTTGTTTTTATATCAAAACAAAATATGCCTTTCACCAAATATCACTTAAATATTTAGACTAAGATTTTATTTTGCATTTATTCAAAATCCGTTAGGTGGGATTTCTATGTACGACAAAAAATCCAATTATTATATTTTGATTAATTTTGCATTCACAATGCCATACTGAAAATTATTCCTAATACAAAGTGCTTAAAAATCCACTTGGTCCTTGGCACCCTGAGATGGGAATCGAACCCACGACCTTTCGCAATCCGGGCGACCATCTCAGGGTACCAGGGACCAAGTAGATTTTTTAAGCCTTTTGTATTAGGAATAAAAATTTTGATGTCTTAAAAGCGGCTTCATTATTCATGAAACTGCTATTGCAGGCAGAAGTTCTGTTTATTATTCATTGAATAAATTAAATAATAAAAAAAAGTATTATTTCTGACTTTCAAAGTTAAAAATCGATTCTATTTTTTGTATATAAAAGACTTTTTGAACAGAAATACGTATTGGTTAGCAGCTGGAACGAAATTATGCAATATATTAATTTTATAATACAATAGAACAGTAAATCAATTCTTTAGTGAAAATTCAAGTGACTTAATACATCATTCAAGAGTGTGCAATGCACACAATTAATGGTCTTCAATAATGCATTGCAACTCAATTCTAATTTATAATTTAAAGAGGCCAATTGATACTTAGTCGTGCCAGTATATGTAAACTTAAATCAAAACTTGTGCTTTGTATAGCAAGAGTACTGCATCCAGGTACATGTAAAGTCCCGGATTTTAAATACATGATAAGTTTTTGCTGTGAGTTCAATATACTCTTGATTTAAGCACCGGATAAAACACTCAGATCATGTAAAGTCATATCGTCGAAAATTAGAGTCGGTTAAAAACGACAAGTGTTTTCAATATTGATACTAAACTTGGGATGTACAACAAAACTCTTGTGAATCAAAATAAAGACAAAGCTCCACCTTGCTACATCTTAAGATATTACATTGAGTATGAATAATTTTGTCTTTTGTGTACATTTCAATGAAAGTCAAGCATTTATATTATGTAGGTTAGAGTAACAAAGGGATCGGTGATGGAACCCATTTTATATATCATATTCACGTCATAGCTTTTATTCACTCTGATTACGAGGGGTGTTCAAAAAGTAGTGAGAATGGCCAGCATCTTGGATTGCTGCCATGGCAACTGCAGACTTGCAGGCCGGCGCGTTGTCTTGATGGACAAAACTTTCGTGACTTTTCCTCGTCGGTTTTTAAGATTTCCTGAAGTAATTTTTTTGTTCTGCGTAGACCTTTCCTGTGATAGTGGCTCTAAGGCATTCAATCCTTATCAACCCCTGGCTGTCCCAAAAAACTGCACCCATGATCTTGCCGGCGGATGGCAGACTTTTGAATTTCTTTAGTGTGGGAGATGTCGGTCTTTTCCAGGACATTGACTGTTTTTTCGTTTCTTTGAAATGTTGAGTTGCGTTTGCTTTTGTGCGTCCGTTGGCATTCTCGGGACCTAACGCGCGTATACCTTTTTCATTCCTAAGTGATCTTGCAAAGTACTATGCACATTACCACTTGAAACCTTCAACTCTTCAGCTATAAAACGGACAGTTACACGGCGATCATTCAGAACAATTTTTTCAACTTTTTGACCATTTCCTGAGTAACTAACGTTGAAGGGCGGCCCGAGCGCGGGTCATCTTTAACCGATGTTCTTCCACGTTTAAACTCTACACACCACTGAGCCACTGTGGAATATGGAGGAATTGATTCCCCCCATGTCTCACAAAAATCTTTAAAAATTTGTTCCGTAGTAAAATTTTTCAAGCAAAAGTATTTTATTACTGCACGGGTTTAAATTTTATCCATTTTTGCGAGAGTTAACGACGCGTCACAAACAATTAATTAATACAACTGACACAGACAAGATAGAAACCTAATTATTTGAGGGTATTATAACAAAGACCTCATCTTTCCGTGGCCATATATTTTTTTCAAGTACGCTCCATTACTACGTCATTCTCACTACTTTTTGAACACCCCTCGTACTTATCGATTCCTTGCTTCCAAACCACGTCAATATCGTATTGAGATAAAATGTTTGCAATTCAGACCAAATAAAAAGTAAAGACGGAGTTCGCTTAATAACAAAGTGAAGCCAATAAGAAATAACAAAGTGCGTGCCAGTGTGCCCATAGTCATTAAAAACACCCCAATAACTTAACGTTACGACGTTATAGAGTTAACGTTAACGCTATGCTATATAATAATATAATGTAAATTTGTTTGTCAATATCAGCATAGATATTCTAAAATTTTTAAGAGTAGGTAATTATTATTCCAGGCCATACATAGAGACTATAAAATTTATATTTAAGTTTAATTTGAGAACTTCCACTATGTTAACTAAAATTATAATATATAAAAAGTTTGAAACCTTTGGATATAAGTTTTGCTTTATTCGACGTAACCCTTTTATAGTATAATACATATCATCGCTCTTAAAATGAGTCGAACAAACTACGCTGCGCGAAGTTGGATTCCATGAAGGTTCATTTCGACTATTACGAATGACTGAAATCCACTTCTCTTTCACATTTTGATGTCGGTTTGGAAATGAAAAAATGTATGCAAACCCGTTTAGTAAAAATAAAGAAGTAAAAATTTAAACCCGTTTTTTATTTTTTACTTCCTTATTCTTACACTTCAATATCTGTGATCTGGACCTCTATGTAGCATTTCGAATGCAAAATTTATTGAATATCATTTCCATACAACAAGAAAAAAATACATAACGTAATTTGTGTTTTGTTAGAAATAACGCGTTATAAAATTAAAGTTACCTGATTTCGGGGTAAATAATAACGTTTAACGATGGTAATATTTGGCTGAGGTTTTGTGTTCCAAGCAATTACTTAAATTTAATTTTTAAATTACTGAAAATGTAAGTTTTCTCCAATACTTATGTGTGAAATGTGATTCCATCCTGCTTTTTATTTTTTGAGGATTGGTTTTTACAACCTTTTACTACACAATTCGGCAGTTAGTAAGAAATTTTTGTTTTTTTTTTATAATGAAACGTTCCACACACTGTCTTTAGTTAGACTGATAAGGAAGGCGTAGTTTCGTTATGTATGTGTGCGTGAAACTGTGTACGAATACGCCGAGGCGTAGTTTTGTCGGCTTCACTTTTCTGTTAGGCAAAACTCCGTCTATACTTTTTATTTGGTCTGAGGTTTGCAATATTTGTATTGTCTATGCACATTTAATAAAACACCTTGTAAAACGCAGGACTTCTGTGCTATAAACCACAAACAACTGTAAAAAACGGACACACGCCAATCCAGTGTTGAAAGTAACACCGCCTATTGTTATATAGAACTTGGGACTACATGGAATAGAATTATTCAACAGATTCCTTACCGCGACATGGTTTTGGCAAGATGTGATATTGACGTAGTTTTCGCATAGAGGATAAGGGCCCAGGTCTAACTGAAACCACTGGAGTACGAACTATATTATATTTGCAGATAACACAGCAATTCTATTTAACAGCTAGAACCCAAACAAAGTGCATTCCAATTTCTGCAGCAGAAGATAGACGAAATAGAAATATTTCTAAACAAATTAAGGAAATCAGTTCATGCTACATTTACCTCCCCAAAAAAAGACTGTACAACTAAAAGGAATAACTGCTACACAAAGAAAGTTTAAGACTAAAATAAAAGTTGTGTAAAAAGAGAGACCAACGTGACATCAGTTACGGGATTCTGCAGTGGCTATTTGCACGAAACTTTGTGCCAATCAGGGACAACACACTCCTTATTTGCCAGGTGGTGCTAAACCAATCTGGAGATACAGCATTCAGTTGTGTGGATCTGTTTGTTACTCCAGTGTAGAAATTATTCAAAGGGAACAAAATGGCATTATAAAAAATCTATCTAATGCACCATGGTTCATAAAAGAAATTGAACTCATGTACGAAATTAGGCAACACTGCCAAATAAAAGGAAATCAAACAGCCAGTAGCACAAACGTCCAAGAACCGACACAAATTTGACATTCATTAGCTTAAATGCGTCATTAAACATTAATGAACGTTTATGCAACTGATCGTTAGTCAATATATATATATTGCGTGTCACATTACAAACATTGAGATAAAATGTAATTTTACACAACTGCCTAAAATTATGAGTGTATTACGTTTAAAGTTAATATAGGTATCATACGTGAGTTTCTTTATTCCACTAAAACTTTTGCTTGACTTAGCAATGCATCGTATCATTAGAAACGTTACATCCACCTGAGTAGCTATATTTTTTTTTTAATTTTATGGGTGATGTATGACGCCATTTAAAAATCATTTCTTTAATTATAGCAATATGGGTATCAATTTAAAGATTCCAATCAGCACATTCATAACAAACAAGTTCTATTATAGCTTGACCAAACAATATCCTAATTGCAGTCGGGGACCTCTTAGGTTCTTTCCTAAATTATGGTCCCCTGACTGCAATGAAAATTTAATTTAGTTATGCCATAACAGAACTTGGTTCTTCTATTCTTTTTTTTATAGGTATACATGCGATGTCCTACAAGGGCATTGGAATATGTAAAAGAGCATTAGGGAAGGAACACCTTTTTACTCCTCCAAATTGTCTAGCAGCACAATTGACAATCATCAACTAACCTTAGAGGCTTAAAGGTTAACACATCATTGAGCTATCACTTTAAAATGATAAAAATTAAAGAATGGAGCGATACTCAGTGGACTATGCTCCTAAAAGATAAAAAACGCTCACATCACATATGCATACATGCTTAAAGCCAAGAGACTGATCGCAAATAAAGAATTTGCAAAAAATCATTTTATGGAGTACCTAAAACAACCAAGCCATCACAACAACCAAACCCAAGAAATGATAGATAAGTTAACTTTCTTTCCTATTTTACTTTGCCCTGACAATCACGCATATCAGGATAAACTTAAAAATATTTTTTCTACATCCATGTTTATGGAATCGAAATGTGATAGCTAATGTGATATTTTCAGAGTTGTAAATATGTGTAAGGGGCTATTAATTATCTTTGGCTATAATGATAAGGACAGGCAGTGTTGTTGTGCTTATTAAGAGATATGAAAGTTAGCAAACATAACCTTGCGATCAGGAACATGAAATTTATATTTACTTCTTGTGACAGTCATTTTTTTATACTAATCTTGCTTTTTTTAATCACCTAGCATAATTTAGATTTATTTTATCTCTTTATTTCTTCGAGGGTTTGTCACGCAGTGACCACAGCCATAATTTAGACTGACAACATAACAAGAAGTAAATAATTTGCAATTGGAATGTGTTAAATGTTGTTATATTTAACTAGTTTTGGACTAATGTTGTAAAAACTTTGGTTATAAATTCACATTACTATTGTTCATTTTTATGTTATTTTTTGGCATGAATAAAGAATTATTATTATAAAAGGTCTATTCACCTATTAATCAAGTACTTCAAAAAAACTACTAAACTACTGGAAAGAAAAAATAAATACAATAGAAGTACAACACAAAAAAAGAGTTCCTTATTATTTATTTTAATTAGTAAGAAAGTTTAAATTGTATCATATCTAAAGAGTTTAATGGTGATTATAGTCTAATTAAAAAAAAAAATTGTTACATATAAAATCTTCTTCAAATGTTCATCTTGGAATATTAATAGTTTCCAATCTTTGTAACATTGTTTTAATTTAATTAGATACAATTTAATATTCTTAAAATTACACTCACATGAACTATTAATTTCTTCAAAAATGGTTTCAAATAATGGGGAGACCACAGCACTCTGTGACCTCAAGGGTTAAAGTATATAGCGCATATGTGGAAATGCAGAATGATATTATTTTTTAATAATGCTCAATAATACATCAAATTTATAAACAAAACATTACATACACTACCACAATGATATTACAATAAAAAATCTAACAATTCAAAATTTCTCCCCGGCATACACATACACATGTACCAATACTCTCCTATTCATGGACTATAATTGAACATGTCACAGGCCAGATGTATAATGATTTAATGCCTACTTTTACCTTAAAGAGTTAAAGACTTTGATCAACAGTTCAACTTAAAATGTTGATGTAAAGTAATGTTAGTTACTTTATTATTTGTACTTGTCGTTAGTGTATATATATTTACCAGTGTATAAATGATGAAACTTTTCAAGCAATTAAAATAAACCTGACACTGATTTATAACATCTATAATGACATGAGGGTTTTTCATCATTTTTTAGGTCCAGAGTTAGGTTTTGATGCTCCAAATTCAACCCTGGAGTGTTGAAGTTTCAGTCTCATGTAGATTTTCAAATAAATGTAGGATTGAGTGTAGGCATAAACTCAAATTGTCCATTCTGTTACTTATACTTATCTTTGAAAGATCTCTTTCATAATTTGTAACTGGTGATTTACTCTTTCTTTTTATGACACAATATTTATTTTTATGATTAAAACCAGATCATTTAAAAATGTATTCTTATGAATGAAATGTGACCCCCTGATTCAGTCGACTTACCTATGTAGTTTTTAACACAGAATGGCATTTTAAAAATGAATATGGTACATATACACACAGAATGAACGCATTTGCTAGACTGTGCTCAGGTAGACTGTGCTCGCACTTTTTGGATGTAACCTATCTAACCTTTTTTATTGAAATATCATAGCGCTACCAAATATTTGACACTTAACTGATATCAAGCAATCATAAAAAATTTTTCATACGAAGAGCTACTACTCATATGAATTAACATGATAAATATTTGCCTATTTCTCCAAAAAGGCAAGTTGAAATAATAAAATTCCAAAAAAGTAGATATTTTTCAATAATTTATGTTGAAACAGAGGTATGACCTGACACAGCTCCTGATGCACACATAATCTTCATGGATATGATTATAACAAATATAATAACTATTCAAAATTTTACAAATTCTTGTTCAAGGAATACCATAGGCCCTCAGGTCTCATGTTAATTCATATAAGGTATGGAATTTTCTTAAATTCAATAAATATTAAACAACGCTTAAAACAAAAAATGTAATAAATACACTTTGAACATAAAATTATTTAACATTGATGTCCTCATGTGACTTAATCATTTTAAATTTCATTAACACATGACTGAAATAGTCTTCCTTTACTTATATATCAATTGTATTTAACCTACCATCCCAATAAAAGGTATGCAAAGCAATAATGAATACGCAATTGAAAATTTACAATATGTAGGTAGCTACTACACTACATGATCGTAAACATCAAATAAACTTAAAAATATTTATCATTTCAACTATATTATACATTTTCGCTTTGTTGTAAGCAATAAGAAAAAAATAAACTTCGCGTGGGGCCAAAAAGATGCTGTTTTAATCGGTAACAATAAAATGCTGAGCGGGAATTCATTGACAACTTACATTGTTAGTTTCGTTTGAAGAGGAACGGGAGCGTTTTTCTTTACTTTTCGAAAACACGGTACTCATCTTGAATTAATATTGTTCACAATGTACCTATAACTTGCGGGGACGCTATGCACTGCAAATTCAATTTTTGACTAAATATTTTTCCAGACCCGATTGGCAAAAACGTGACAAACATGGCGCCTCATGGATATGTCAAAAAGAAAAGCTTGGGTGGGAAGTCTACAATAGTTCTCACTGTTATATCTCACAAAAATTTATATTTCAATACGATTATACAATATGATCACTAAAAATATAGGATTAGATAGCAAAAATATGAATAGAACAAGTTCTACTATACATTTCACGACCTGATTCAAAGATTCAATCAAACGCGGTGTTGGTCATAGAATAAATCACCATAGACAAAGTTAAGATGTTTGCACAGACCAAGAAATTAGTAGTTTTTACGTGAAGTATACGCAAAAACTACTAAAGTGCCATCCAAAGAGTAAAAGTATTTAGGGTCCAACACATACGGTAGGTGATCGGTGGACTAATAGGGAACTATGTTTGATATAATACTTATAACTGTTTATTTTAAATTAAAAAAGTATAAAATCAAATAAGTTCGGGAAAATAAACACGTTTTATTGCCTTGAAATGAAATCAAATAAAAACTTTTTATTCCCCAAAAACGCTGTCCGTCATATTCATGGCGTTATTGTGATATGTACACAAAATCATTACTCTATGCACATAACAGATGCATAAAGAAGATTAAAGTTGTTAATAAAACAACAACAATGCCATCTAATGAGAAATTATTAAAAAAAAAACATTACATCTCGAAATCCAACTAGATGTCGCTACGGTACGTTCATGAACACTTGCGGTTTTCTTTCATCTATAAAAGTAACTACTCTAACTAAATTAACAACTCATATTCTATTTGTACTTTTTCGTATTTGTATTGATATGTAAGTTTCGAACTTTGCAAATTTCAGTTTTTTAATATGTTAATTTAAATGAATGGAAACGATTATCTGTGGTCCATTCATTGCCTGCAAAAATCAACTTTTGGTAGAGTCGCCATCTAGTGAGGTAACTTTAGTGCTTCCTTTTTTTTTCTTAAAATACCTTCTTATTGCTTTTGGAACGAATCATGATATGAATGACATCATGAAGATAAAGTAAAAGAACTGGAGGCCAAACTCAGAACTATTGGTTGAAGCAAAGTTATTTCACCTCTATTGACCTTTCGTTGGACTCCTGGGTGGCTATGTCATAAATCTAAATTTTCCCGGAACCTGTACCGATCATTGATGTTATTCACTAATATTATGTTGCATAAACTTTTTGACAATTGGTACTAATAGTATAGTTTTACACGTCACTAATTGCATTGGACTTGAAACTTTATTTATATATCAGAAATAAGATTGTACATTAAATATACTCTGAAATCCAATCCAATGTAACAAAAAACTTAAACAAAAGGGTTATTAAAGAATAACTACAATTAAATAAAATCTATAATAAAAAATGGTACGCAAATATTATAATCAGAAGGCAGATACATAGCTGCAAATTAATAAAAATTATTAACTTTTTACCGTCGTCATGTCAATCTCATTAATCAATAATCCTGACTTGCAATTTAATTTGTTGAATTATTATTAAAACCTATAAATTGAAAAATTATATTCCACTATAGACCGTTTCACATATAATGGATACGATGACATTTGTTAACAGTTGATGAATAAATATTATTCTCAAATCCTGTTTTATATGTTGATCTCAAAACCGTTTTTCTATTAGAAATAAACTCCCCAAACATCACCGTACTCATGCTATATGAATAAGGCACCGTATTTTTTTTTCTAAATTTCCCCATTGTTGTGGTAAATGGCATCCACAAAAAATGGCAACCTCGTGTGTGTCAATATGGCGAATGACAATTACAAATTTCGTCGACTCGAAAATTGTGATTCATATATAAACGTTTCTCGCTATCAAATCGTGAAAAATGGTTCAGAAATGTGTAGTCCTAGGTTGCGGAAGCAAATGACATCCTCGATGTTCTTTGATATTTCACAGGTGAGCCGTAAGTTACTGTAATTGATGACTGCTTGCATTTTAGAAAAATAATGTTTTTAATGTAGAATCCTTCAATTTTTGATAATTTACAATAATATAGTATCTAAAGTAATACATGATTTAATTGTTTACAGTAGCATATTTCAGAAATTTTCTAATAAAAGCACAGTTCACATTGTAAAATAAAAATAAACAAATACTAATATGGTGACCATGAAAAGAAGATAAAGGATAAACAATAAAACTGAACTTAATATTTTTTATTTCACTTTTAGTTTTCCCAAGGATCTAATAAGGAGAAGTCAATGGCTATCGAGTGTCAAATAAAAAAATAAGTTTTATAAAACTGCAAAAATATACAGTAATCACTTTGTGAGTACCGATTTTAATAGAGAATCGGTTAAAGCATTCAAAAATTCCTATTTATTCTGATGTGGTAAGTAAAAGTTCTACTAATTAGGTACTAATTCTTAGGTAGCAAAAATAGAATACAAACTTGCGAGTGAGAACGCGAACTTGTGGCTCGACGTCCTGTATTTAAGATGACAACAGCGAAAAAGGTCGTTGAGCCACAAGTTCACGTTTGGAAGGAATAAAATTTTTATTTTACTTGATGTAAAATGTCATGAAAAAATGGTCTCGAAATATCTTAATTCCCTAATGGCAGGGTTTAGACAAAATAACCATAATTCGTTTTTTTTCCAGTCGGGACAATCTGATCTAAAAGTGATGCATTTACCATGCCTTCTACACCTTCAACACCTTGTCGTAGGTTGTCCGATAGACTTGCTATGGTAACAATCAAATAGTATTTATTGTCATCAAAACTGTACTTTTTTAGTCACATATAAATTAAATTTAAAAATAACATAATGTTGTTTTATTTTTATCTGAGAATGACAATTACACCTGAGAATATAAGAGAAGAATGTGATATGTAAATCAGTAAATTGACTTAAGGGTGAAATATTTACTAGCTTATTCCATTTCAATTCGGTCGGAAGGAAGGTAAGCTGACAATCGTAGTCTGCAGTCTTGTAGTTCACTTTGCATATTAGATCTACTCCGTGCTTTGGAAGGCACGTTAAGTAGTTTGTCCTGATTGTATCTGCAGTTGTAAAAACCCTTCAATCCGGAATAGACCCATTGTGGGTACATTAATAGGCTGGTGATTATTAATAAGAGTTTTTTGCCAACTCTAATTCCCACACTGCTAAGTTTTAATCAAACTCAAAAATTGTTATTTTTTTATTTGAGAACCCCCTAACGAGACCCCCCCTAACGAGACTCATTACCCAAGTAGCACATAAATAATATATTAACTAAAATAAGTACCGATTTATGTCCTAAAGTCATACAAACATTTTTAATCAGCACTGGTCAAGTTTCGAATCTGTTTAAAGGCATTTATTTGATCTAATAATGCTTAATGCCATATTATGGTTAATAAAAAAAGTATACCAATGTCAGAACTCCTATTTAAGTATTGGGTAATATTAATATAAAGCTGTTATCGTATTTCGGTGATATGAAAAACATTATATATTATATAAGCATTAACGTAATATTATTTAGTGCACTTACTTGTATTTAGTCATTTTCTAGAAACAAAGGTTTTTCTAATGGCCTATGATTGTATCGATTTAATGCTTATCCTATATACACATTGAATAAAGAACTAGTAAAACTTTAGCACCGATTTGTTCTTAAAGTATTCTTTAATCAAGCTCCTTTATCTTCTTAATCTATGCTTTTATAAAATATAAGGCTATATTGTGATCAATATTAAGTTATTTATAGAGATACAAGTAATAAATAGATAGTAATTATTTTTTATGTAAAATTATGTTTATATATTGTATTGTAATGGTGGCATTTTATACGCATCGCTGGCGCCATGGACAAAAAACGTTGGGAAAAACAAAGAAAACAGGTGGATATAAAAGAAAACTAAAAAAAGAGTATTCTAATTTAATTGAAGCTTTTAAAAATCAAAATAAAAATGAAATAATCGTTTGATGATTATAAGCACTATAAAACACTTCTGAAGTGTTAAAATACGGCTGTACTTTAAATGGGAGTGTGTTATACGGTGAATTACGAGCTCTTAGTTTTGTGTCTAACCATAATACGATTAACAGCTCTACTACACTATATTTGAATACCTAATGCTTTAATTTTACGAGTCGCCATTTGCTTTCTTTTTCCAATTCTTACAAAATTTTAAAATCAACTGTGTCAAATGAAAAGGGGTAAATAATCATTTATTTGTGCACAGATGCCTATAAAAGCAATTATATTGTTATTCTTTAGTCAAAAAAGGATAAGTAATGAGGAAGTATTTAAAAAAAAACGAAAGCCCTAAAATAGTACTTCCACTAGATGGCTCGACTCGAATAAAAGTTGATTTTTGCAGGAAACGAATGGACCAAAGACAGTTATTTCCGTTCCTTTTAACTAACATAGTAAAAAACCAAAATTTGAAAAGTTCGAAACTTAGATATCAATACAAATACGAAAAAAAAACAATAGGATATGAGTTGTTTCTTGAGTTTTGAAATCTAACTTACTTTTAAACTTGAAAGACAACCGGAAAGGTTGTTATGTAGAAATCAAGAACGTACTGCAGCGACATCTAGTTTGATTGTTTCATCGAGAATTTTTTTTTTGGTGATTCAGTATCAGTAATAGAACACTTTTCCATAATTTATTCAAAACTTTTTAAATATTTTTGGATTATTGGATCGGGCGACGCGTACGACAGTGGCGGCAGTGAGACACATACGCACGCACCGTCGTGACGTGCCTTCGCGCAAGCGGAGTACCCGCTGCTCGCGCCTTTCGCCTTTCGTTTTGTTGTGTCGATGTCACGATGTCAAAATTTACCAATCGTGAGAACCTTTTAAACCACTCGCTTGCCCATTTACATGTTAGCGTTTGAGTTTTGTTAACCACTAGTTAACGGGGCAAGCAATCGGTTAGGTAAGTTTTTTTAAGTTGTTAAGTAGGCAACGGAGAGCATACTTCGTATGTGAGCCTTTGGGATCCGTAACCATGCGATCCCTAATGCGCGAACCGTTAAAGCAGACGAATCCCAGAGATGCGCCACGTCGCTTTGGTGTGAACCACTCCGCGGTATTGAAGCTGTTTAATACAGCCGGCCTCCATCCGTACCACTTTCAGCAGCTCCATGACCTAGACCCAGTAGGTACCACGTCGAGCCTTATGCGAGTGGCTTCTACATCACTGAGATGCAAACATCTTGTGGATGGATGAGATATTGTTCACACTGTTTCTTATGGGGAGAAGAAGATA